CCGTACCACACCACACCAGGAAACTTGTATGAAGTCCAAATGACTTGGAACAAAATAAACTAGAAAGAAATCTCTGGCAAAGACAAGTTCAAATAAACTGACAAACTTTCATTAAATTAGTTTAATTTATGCAAAAACTATTTAAGTAAAATTTACGAATTATATTATTATTATTATTTTTTTAAGTTATAAAATTAAACGAACTGTAATAAAATATACAAATTGGCTTACTCGTATATTTTATTTAACAAGATTTTTATTTTCAATGAAAATTTTCAAAATGGCGACCTTTCGTTTTATTAAGAAATGTGACGAAGTCGAAGCGTAGTTTAGTATTACGTAAATATGCTTACGACGGCAATTCCTGCGGAAGTTTTCTTGAAAAGAAAACAAATACTCGTGGCTTCTTCACAAATTCACTTAAAGTCTACTTGAAATTAAGTGTTTTATTCTTTTTTAGCCGTTTTTCTCGATTTTTTACATACTTTATCGTTCATAAAAATGATACCTTCCATTTAATATATTGCTTTGAATCATCTTCGAGAACATAAATATAGTTTTAATAAATCTATCCAATAACCTAAAAGTCTAAAAACTTATATTTAAATTTAATTAAAGCAATAAATTATTATTATCGGTCGTAGCTTTAACGTTTTTCTCTCCCCTAATTACTATTGTTAGAGTTGATATTATTCATTAGATCTTTTCATGCGTCATTACGACGTCAATACGATGACGCATGGATATAAAGTTTATCAACAGAAGGAAGGAGAGATGAGGAAGCTTGTTCCTTCGGCGGGACATTTTGCTTAGCAGTTTCAAGGACTGACGGTTACCGTGTCATTTAATAATGCATGGAGTGTTAAAAATAAAACGAGAGACGAATTTAGCAACGATTCAACAGTTGCCGTGTTAGCACAACCTTTGAAAATAACACGATTAAAATATTTCGGAAACTTTGTATTTTAATTGTGTATAATTTTATTAAATTATAAATAAAAATACTTAATTATATTTTAAATAATTAAGTATATTTCTATTGGTTAATTTAAAATTTTACTTATTTAAAAATTGCATTATGTATTTGTACCGTACATAAAGAACGTTGCTTATTATATGCTAATAAAATTAATTTGAATATTTTTTTTGAATAACTGATGATTTATTCATGAATTTTTTTAGAAATTTCATAATGCAATTCGTAGTTACATAATTTTTGCAATCAAAATCGTAATTGTTTGAGTTGTAAATTCATCAAAGTAATATTGTAGTTAAGTAATTTAAGTACATTTTTTGTGTTGCTAATAGACTTTAATGGGGTTGCAAAACCGTAAATAGCTTATTACGGCATTAATTTAAAAAAAGGATAAACGTACTCATGGTAGAAATATTTAAACTTGATCTAGAAGAGAAAATTTTTGAATTTACTACCTTTAGGGGCATTTGGCATCAAATGTTGCCATTTTAACTAGCCTTGTGTTAATAGGTTAAAAGCATCTCTCTGGATGTAAGAAACATTTGGAAATACGCCAAACAATTCAATACTGTGACGTAATTTGTGACATGTTGTGTCTGGTATTAACAATGTTCAGTGATCGGTAATGAAATCATCAATATAAAATATCGCTTAATAAATTACGTTTTATTGAGATCAGTTTTCAAATTGCAACAATTAACTTAAATTCATGCAAATGTTCTAATGAGTTAAGAATCTAAAGTGGAAGAAGGGCAATAGAACTGTAACTATTCTTCCCTACAAAGCTAATTCATATATCTATAATATAATGTGGAAAATATTTCAAAATCTAAACTGTAAAAAGAAAAAAAAACTTAAATGTTGAAAAATTGCAGTTTTTCTGTCAATTACCCATCATCAATCTTTGTCTGCGTGACTTCAGAAAAGACAAACCATTGTTAAAACTAACAATGAATTTCACCTGTGAAACAATGTTCAATTGAACGATTATCTCTCGATTATCTTTGCACGAATCACTTCTACAATTGCTTACTGATTAAATTGTTCATCTAATTTAGTATGATTAATCAAATGTAAAAAGGGAAATTAATAAATTAAGAGTCTAATGTTAAAGGTTGGGACCATTCACTTTGACTCGACCTTGACCATACGACTCACCTTGTGCTGAATGGCCATGAAATCGAAGAATAAATAGAAATATAATAATAAGTCTGCGACTATCCAAAGATTTGATCCCAAAGAAGGCCATTGTGGATACCACCGTGGGGAAAGAAAGAAGTACTGAATATGTTTCCGAAATACACCTTACTCTCTACAGAAGCTATATAGGGGACAAGAGTACATCGATGGCATTAGTCGTTCCATGGTTTCCATCCCTCTTTATCACCCCTTCTCGCTTCGACAAGGATATTTGGATTTTCTATTTACCGCTACCTTCTAATTTATATTTAGTAAATGGGATGATCCTATAAGTGCCGTAAAATTGTTCCCTAACCCCTGTTGTAAAGAATGGATCCTCTTATTTCCGTTACGTCATGGTTAGCGAAGAGAAAAACCGAGCATATCTGTAAGGAGTGCATGCTCGAAATAAACCCAGAATCCAATACGATACCCGGCCATATAAGGGGAATAAGAAAGACATTGCACTGGCAGGCGATGCCAGAAATCAGATGTGTTGTCACCTTGACAGGCATTTCTACAGACAAGCCAGTTCGAAGTGTGGCAGTTTGCTGAAAGAACTAACACTTTCCGACTTAATTCAATTAGCTTTACACTATGTAATATATATACTTTAAATATATACACCGCAGGTCAGTTTAGTTAAAAAAACAATAATTATAATATTAAAAATGTGGAAAATTCTTTTGTAAATTTACAAATTTAATATGAAGTTTATGCTAATTTTTAAAATTTCATTCCTGATTTATTAATATTTAATATTGAAAACATTTAATAATATTTTACAATTTTAAATTTTATATTTGAAATATGATTATCATAAAGAGAAAATTTTATTTATATTTAGTAAAATTAATAAAATGCAATGTCATCAACAAAAAAAAAAACATTTTTCTATTGTAATTTTTATAAATTATAATTATACTTATGAGTTAATGTTGTTAGTAGGAAGTGAATATATTTATTTATTTATATTTATAAAAAAAATTTATTATATCACTTCAAAATATTTTTTAGTTGATTTGGCAGCGTTATGAGCATTCCTGTTTTTTATGTGTACTTTAAAACATTAAAAGATTTTTGAAAGCAATCTGCCAAAATCAACAAGCGATAAAGTTCATACGTAGTTTGTTCAGCGAGAATTATAAAATCATTTTTAGCACTTAAAGTTTCGAAATACGATATCAGCCTGAAAACCTGTAACATTTACAATGAAATACGTTAACATTAGTCAATGTAATAAATTTTAAAAATTATCTAAAAAATAAAAATAATAATAATAAATAAATCAGTTATCGGAACTGCACTTGTTCTCATTTGTCCTTAAATCTGGTTAAAATTGGGACCTCTTCCATTTGCAGAGGAAGTTGGTGCCATTCCAACTAACACTGTGTCATTAGCATACTAATGTGCCAAATGTATTATTTTGGCAGATAACGAATATCTTTGTTTCTCTGTTAAAATTCATATTAAAAGCATATATTCTGACTTAATTATAGTCACCTTCTTACATCGATCACAAAGTAATTTCTATTTTTTTCTTGATTAAAAATTGTCAAAGAAAATTGAAATCCACGCTATATGATTATTTTCAGTTGTTTCTATGAAAATTTTTGAAGGTTATCCAGTGCATATATAATAAAAATAGTGCACGAAATTCAAATCATAATATAAATGACATACAAAAAAATTAATGCATTTAATGAAGTCGGCAAATTTCTTCAATGAGATTTCACGTTTTTTGGTTTTAAGTGAGAAGGAGCAATAGTCTAAATTTTAAATTGTAAGGGCAAATCTATATCTAATCACTAAAAAATATCAAAAAGGCATTAAATAATTGAAAAACAATAGGTAAATGCTACTTTGTAATAAGTACAAGTTTATACTTTGTACTTTTTGATACTTTGTCATTCTGTTTTTAGCTTTAAATGCTTTGGATTTAAATTTTTGTATATTTTTTTGATTATTTAATTATACATTCGTGCATTTTATTATTTAATTTTTTTATTTGAGTCTTCGTTTTGTTGCGTTGGGATATATCCGGGTATACTTTATGGTAGCTTGTTGTCTTTTCTGTAATTGATGTAAAAAAAGAAAAAATGTAAATGGGGTTTAAATTTATTGTAAGTGTGCAGATTATATACGGGCCTAAAAATGCAGAATTTTATTTTAATAATTAACATTAGAAACTGAACATTTATTATTACGGTGTATCTTCAAAATTTTTATTTATATAAAAGTCTAGTTTAATTTTTATTATTTGAAGCAAAATTTAACAGTTGCTTTGTAAAAAAGTTGTCCTGACATTTTTATCGTAAATCATATAATATAAATACAGATTATTAAAACTATTAAATAATATGAATTTTGTACGTTTTGGATTGGATTGAAAAAGTTTATATATTTCTCTAGCAGATGGCGCTTTTGTGATCTTTGATTTTTCATATTGTGCAGAAAATTACTATTGCCATCTGTTAGCAAAAATAGAAAACACTTCTAAAATAAATTTGATTTAATTTATTAAATTTTGTACTTTTGTATATATATTTTATATGTATATAAGTAAATAATGATATACTTCACAAACACAAACAAACTCTTGTATTTTTACAATACAATAGCAAGGATAAAAATATTTATGTACAAAATCTAGATCCGATAAAGAATCATTCTGAAAGCATTTTTCTACTTTTTTTTGTTTTTTGTTTTTAATCATTGAAATTCGCGAACAGTATTTATATTTATATTAGTTTTAATTTATAAACAGAAAACACTTAAAACATCAATTTGTCAAAAATGAAAGGCAGTGATATCAACTTGGTGTTTTGAAATATGTATCATATACTAAATATTTTTATGTAGCTAAAATATAAACATCTTAAAGTCTTGTGGGTTTCGCTTAAGAAAACCTTTAGTTTTTCTTAGCATTTCGTGATATCCCAAATAATGGATTTGGAAAACTGCGTTGTTCACAGTTACATCATTCGTATAAAAATGCTGCCTTTTTCCAAAGATCAGTTCGAGAAATATTCCCAAATCATGTGACTGCTTATTGTGGAGAAGTCTCCGACGTCAGTACATCTTTCTTTATCTACTAGAAGCGTAAGAATTCCTCCATGTGTCCATCATAGTCGCAGAACACATAAACCTGTAACACATAACGATAGGAAGAATTCCACGTGACATAATTCCCCATGGTATTGTTCCATAAAAACCAAGTTGTAACTGACCAGCTACTGGATTCTGAGCAGTAAATGATTCCATCAGCCACAGCACCAAGTTGCTGAAAATCAGGAAAGTTACGGTCTGTCGTCCCGGTTTCGATTTCTCGTGAGGACAACCTGGTCTGCAGCATTTCTTATTTAAGATATGCATAAAGAGAGCTTGAATGCAACAATGAAATATCATAACAGCTCCATCGACAAATACTACTAAATATTTCGTATTGTGAAGATGATTACTGCCCACGATCATCCCACACGCTCCAAATAAAAAGACAGCTGTCGTTCCCCATGATTGAATTGCCGAATGAAGATCCGGTTCTGGTATAGAACGCGGACACATTCTTCTTATCTGGCATAATCCTAAGAATACAGCTAAAACGGAAAGGCCCATAACTCCGCAATGAACAGAAGACACAACAAATAACGTATCTAGATGCAATTTCTGATTGTTGGTCAGAACAAAAAATAGGATAAGAACTATTAGTCCAACTACGGTCACTAAAAGTCCTAAAAATAATCCTTTACTCGATCCTCTACAATCTACTTTTCGACCAGTGCAGTTTTGTTTGTTGACTACTTCTGAATCTGGGCTTATACTTCTAGGGGTGCTGTTAATGTTATAATGAACGACAAAAGTAGACGATTGCCAGAGATGAAACATAACGGCACTGCAAACTAAACTGAATTGAAGAACAAATGGGAAAATGTAAGGCATGGCTTTTTCCCATATGGAACCAATTGTAGAACTCTGAAGACAATATCTATAGTAAAGGACTTGTTCGATTTTCTCGTCTTCTTGAGGATCCCACCAGCATTTCTTCGACACTGTAAAATATCAAGATCTAAATTAACCAACTATATATTTATGAATCCTTTCATAATTGCTTAATTGTTTTACCATATACTTTGTGTTGCATATTAGAATTCATAACGTGAATAGTCGCATTGAAGTCTTCAGGAATTTTTGGATTTGTAGCATTTTGAACCACGTGGCTGTGTTCTAACCATTCTTTAGCCGTTTCCCATAAAAATAAGCGAATCCAAACAGCCAGATTAGCAGCTTGCAGATGCATTAGGCCGATATTTCGGAACCAACCAAGAGATTTGAGAACTCTCTAAAAAATCAGTAATAATTTTAAAAAAATAGATAAAAAATTAACTATGATAATTAACAAGTAAAACTTAGAATTTCACACTGGGGGCATGAATTACATTGGAGTTTAACCAGACCGCATTAATTGACCTAGACGGCGAAATGACTCGTCTAATTATGAAATAGAGAGTAATGAAGATGCTGGGCAAATGTTACGCGATAGAGGAAGTAAATTGATATGGCTATCTTGCAGTTCTAAATTAGTTATTTCCTTCTAGAAAGAAATACAAAGTCTCATAATAATAAGAAAAACGGGAGATGAGTAATTTTTGTCTTCAAGCAATGTATTTCAGAGTAGTATAATTTAAAAAAAATTATTAAATGTTATACCATTTAAAAAATATACATATTTATAAAAAAAATAAATAAAGTTTCTTGCTTACCGGAATATTCATGAAAAGAAAATGCATTTGTAGAAATGTAAATATTCCTAATAAAATCGGCTGTGCCAAATTTAGCTCGTCCAAGCATAACTCTTCTACTGGTGTAAAATAAGTTCCTATTTCTAATCCTATCCATGTTAACATTCCGAGTCCCAGCACTGAAATTAAATAAATAATAAGCTTTAATGAATTCAAACACAAATTACAATTAAAAGATATTTTAAAACTAAGTTAAATTACAATTACAGCACCTAATATTCCAACTCGGAGATAAATACTGATATCTTTTAATAATACTCCAGATTTCTTCTTTAAATCTCCAGATTCGATATCATCATTCAGAGTGGGACATTTAGAAAATGCTACACAAATATAAGTCGTCAAAAAGCATACTACACTTCCACCGATAAGGTAGGAAAAAAGAAATCCCTAGAATTTGTAAGTTTATAAAGATTAAAAATGGTAAATGTATATAAAAAAAATTCTTTTTACAGATTGCGATTCAAGGAAATTAGATTCATCAAGTTACGCTTCATCAAGTAAAAAGAATAACGGAATTTATGTTTTGCAAGACTTTTTACAGGAACTTACATTATAATAGAGAAGAGGAATAGGATTGTCCAGAATCTCTGTAATTACTATGATTCCAGCTGTTACGATTAATATTCGAGCGTATAAACCGCTTAATACACGAATTGTACCGGTCTTCTCCTTCGATCTAAACATAAAACAAAATGGTTTTGCACTGTTTATTTTTAGTACATTAAGGAAGAATTTAAAACATTACAAAATATTATGTATATGACCTTTCTTTCTTGCTTCTGTTCGATTTTTGAGAAGCGCTTCGTTCTGGTTCAGCAGCTTCGTCGGAACTTGAATTATCTATGGATGAGATGGGATGTGGTAGACTACTCTTAGAACCAGTCATAGATGTTGCAATGGGAGGGGGTGTCGGAGGAAGTTCATCCAAAGACGCTAATGACGGCGTGATAATTTCCGGTGTGTGATGGATCCCCAACAATTTCACATTGTTATTAGTCGTTTCGTTGTTCATCGAGTCCATTTGTAATCGGTAATCGCAACCTGTTAACTAAATTAAATAAACTGTAAAAACCCCGTTTTCCACGTAAAAGCAATCAATTTAAATTTACAAAATTGGCCGAGAAAAATATAGAAAAGAACGTCGCTAATAATTATGGTTAGATAACGAAAGATATATTATTTGTAAGTATAATTTAACTAACATACTGTAGTTAATGTGAAGAGAGTGTCTAATAGCATTAAAGATAAAATTCCTAAACTGTTTAATAATTATTTGGTTCCGTTTCATCATCGAAAGCAATTGAATAAAAAGAAAATCCAATTATCATCATTAAATACGATGATTGAAATTACTCCTACAGTTCTTAGCATTCAAATTATATTCGGAGTGATTTGAATAAGGATATCCTCTTTATTTTATTCTGTCAACGTAACTACTCGTTTAATGTCTCTGTAAGAACTTTCATAAACTCCTGCAGTCATTTCTTTAAAAGCTCACCTGTCGCGCATTGCTTTAGATCGTTCAATCAATGACAACTGTAAATTTTACCTAAAGGAAATATTTGAAAAGAATGACGAATGATCAATCTTTCAGAAGATTAATAATTCAATAGCTTCATACCTTTGATTCTATCTAAACTAAAATCTAAGGGGGAAAGAATTATGATTTACTTCGTTAAAACTACAGTCGAATTAACTGGGTCAATAAGTTTCTAATACTGCCCAAGGAATAAAACAGCGAGAGACAAATTAGTTAATTCAAACTACGAGAATTCGTTGAGTGAGCGACGGCCACAAACAAGATTTTAACGAATATATCAACAAGCTAAAGATATGATCGTAAGAGGGCAAAAGAGCGTGGAAAAGTCGTAAAAGCGCAGACCACCGGCTGATGTTTATGAGATTTACTTCTGCTACTTTCGTTATTATCGTTATCGATAATACGTTATCTCCCGTCACAATTTTTTCTCCTATAAAATCGATTGTTTTGATTATATAATTAGAAATTTGTATTTCAGATACGTAAATGAAGTTCATTTATTCAAATTATAATATATTCTAGTATAGATATTAAGTAAATTTAAAGTGTTTTAGGTTCGTGCACGGAATGATCATCTATACTTTGCTCCAAAAAGTTAATGGCATTCGCATTTACTTTAGTCTGGCCTGTAATTCTCCGGTGATATTGGTTTTGGTCCATTTCACTTCATCTACTGAAAACATTTTAGTATTTCCTACGACTTTTTTTTAGCAAATGGATTATTAATTTAAACAAAGAGACATTCACGTGTTAAAAGCAGCTTGAAAAGTTTATGAATATAAAATAGGATATGTTATAAATCATAATCTGATCATTATTACAACGTTATTTTGTATATACTACAAGTAAAACGATATTTATCTCATTTCGTGCGCCATCTTACTAAATTTTATTTATTTATTATTCCTTTAGATAAGCTAATTCTNTTTACCATTATTTGGCTGTGCTATCAAATAAAATAATTATTATATTTTCGTTTGCCCACATGTTTGTATTTCTGTTGAATCAGCCGTTTTTGTGGGGTCCATTTTTGCTTGCGAAATATAGGACAGTGGGTATTTGATACAGTTTTCGTATAGCGCGCATTTAATTAAATTTGATGATGCAGTTCCTTTAATTAACTGCTAGATTTTTTAAAAGTACTTTATATATTTTAAACATATTATTTTAAATTAAGGTTAATATATTATTACATAAACATATTTTGAATTATTTCTAATTTCTAAATTAAACTATTATAGTTATTGATCTTTAATAATTAATATAGTTAATTATATTTATTAATTTTTATAATTCTGAAAGTTAAAAATATTATAATTCCTATTCCATACATTGGTTTAATTGTAACAATGTGTATAGTTTAACATTGTACATTGTTTTAATTTGTTCTATAAATAAATGTTATCTGTTCTATTTTTAAACCAAGCCAATTAAAATTATTGAGCGGAATTGTATATTATTGTTATGATAAGTTTTTAAATTAAAAAATGTTTTAAACTTCTATTTGAATCTATTTTTAATCTTATATTTAGCGGAAAAAATTTTATGGTTATTTCTTTTGCAGTGTTAGTTTTAAAACTACATTAAAACATAAACTCAATTATTTTTTTTATTATGTAATAGACTATAAATTAGAATAATTTCCTTATAAATTTCAATACAGTAAATAGTAAATATTATAACTGGCAGCTAGACTAAAATCTTGAGTCATGTTAATAGATTTTATATTAAAATAATTAGGAGGGTATCATTAGAAATGGATTTAAAGGAAGTTAATAAAACTTGATTTACAATAAAAATTCTTAACAGATTTACATTTGCAGAATCGATTATAAAATGAATGCAATTCTATTTAATAAACTGCACGTGGCCTATAAATTATCTTTGTAGTTTTTTCTAAATTGTAGGTCAAATGAAGTTCATTAGATACTGTTGAATTAGCAAGTTTATAGAAGAAAATAAATGACCGTCTGATATCTGGCTTAATTCTTTTATGTAATAAAAATAATATATGACAAAAAATTTAGTTAGAAAATATAAAGATAAAAAGCCAGCGTAATCTTTAATNGAAGTTCATTAGATACTGTTGAATTAGCAAGTTTATAGAAGAAAATAAATGACCGTCTGATATCTGGCTTAATTCTTTTATGTAATAAAAATAATATATGACAAAAAATTTAGTTAGAAAATATAAAGATAAAAAGCCAGCGTAATCTTTAATAAAGTTGTCAACAATAGCAAAGAAACAGCATAACTTAACCTTGAAAATTTTTGAATGAGTTCAAAGTAATAAAGAGGCTGTGAAAGTAATTTCACAGGAGGCGAATAGTGAGAGAATGTGTACAGAGTATATATATAATCTTTGAAAAATAATCACTTATTATAAAGAGATATTTTTAAATTTATCGATAATAATCTATTTACATATTTTTAAATAAAGATTTAAAGTTTTAAATTAATTAACTAATAAAAAAAAATCGTTGTTTCTACACACACACACGTATATAGGCCTATATAAGCTAAACACACTGTATACTTTATGAAATTTTGAGTAAAAAATGATATTTATAAGTTAATTTAGAACTTTAAATCTTTATTTTAAAAAAATCTAAATAAATTATTAGATAAATTAGATAAATTAATAAAAAGANTGTTTCATCTCAAATAAGCATTGAATAAAAAGGTTTCGGACTGGAAACTCAACAAATTACAAATCTTCAAACACTTGCTACAAGAAATTTATTATATTATATCATATTATAATTTATTATAAAAAAGCTAATGTTTCTGCATTTTTTGGTGGTTAATATCATCATCAAATAACTACTAAAATGGTTATTTTATTAATTAATGCGTTACCTTTAAATGTAAGAAGCATTATGCACTTTATATCTAAAAAGCGATAGAATTTTTATTTTATAACCTTTTATTTAATCTTCGTATCTATAAAGAATCGAATTGAATTAAAATACGCCGGTTACCAATTGATATTTAAGTTTTAATATAAAATAAAATTTTAATTAAAGCATTCAATAATAATGGTAAATGGTTTTATTAACGAATGTATAAAATAAAAGAAAACAATACAGAATAAACAGTTTAATTGCGATTTTATTTATAAATTTCGTTTACTAAAAGCAAATTTAAACATTTATTAATTAAAAGTCAATATTTTTAACATATAAAAGAAAAGTCAATATTTGCATTATCTTTCGGAAACTTCTTCCATTAAAAATGTAATTTTGGAAAATATTTTAAGAAATATTCCATTTTCTAAAATTAAGTATGGCCAACGTTTTAGACAAAATTATATTTTTTTAAGTCACAAAATCTTTTTTTCTTCTATTTACAGAATTTTTTCCTATTAATTTGAAGTTTAATTTATTTCATGTGTTCATTAAATTTTTGTTTAAGAAAAAAACTAATATCAAAATTATTTTGGATNGAAAGGCAGTGATATCAACTTGGTGTTTTGAAATATGTATCATATACTAAATATTTTTATGTAGCTAAAATATAAACATCTTAAAGTCTTGTGGGTTTCGCTTAAGAAAACCTTTAGTTTTTCTTAGCATTTCGTGATATCCCAAATAATGGATTTGGAAAACTGCGTTGTTCACAGTTACATCATTCGTATAAAAATGCTGCCTTTTTCCAAAGATCAGTTCGAGAAATATTCCCAAATCATGTGACTGCTTATTGTGGAGAAGTCTCCGACGTCAGTACATCTTTCTTTATCTACTAGAAGCGTAAGAATTCCTCCATGTGTCCATCATAGTCGCAGAACACATAAACCTGTAACACATAACGATAGGAAGAATTCCACGTGACATAATTCCCCATGGTATTGTTCCATAAAAACCAAGTTGTAACTGACCAGCTACTGGATTCTGAGCAGTAAATGATTCCATCAGCCACAGCACCAAGTTGCTGAAAATCAGGAAAGTTACGGTCTGTCGTCCCGGTTTCGATTTCTCGTGAGGACAACCTGGTCTGCAGCATTTCTTATTTAAGATATGCATAAAGAGAGCTTGAATGCAACAATGAAATATCATAACAGCTCCATCGACAAATACTACTAAATATTTCGTATTGTGAAGATGATTACTGCCCACGATCATCCCACACGCTCCAAATAAAAAGACAGCTGTCGTTCCCCATGATTGAATTGCCGAATGAAGATCCGGTTCTGGTATAGAACGCGGACACATTCTTCTTATCTGGCATAATCCTAAGAATACAGCTAAAACGGAAAGGCCCATAACTCCGCAATGAACAGAAGACACAACAAATAACGTATCTAGATGCAATTTCTGATTGTTGGTCAGAACAAAAAATAGGATAAGAACTATTAGTCCAACTACGGTCACTAAAAGTCCTAAAAATAATCCTTTACTCGATCCTCTACAATCTACTTTTCGACCAGTGCAGTTTTGTTTGTTGACTACTTCTGAATCTGGGCTTATACTTCTAGGGGTGCTGTTAATGTTATAATGAACGACAAAAGTAGACGATTGCCAGAGATGAAACATAACGGCACTGCAAACTAAACTGAATTGAAGAACAAATGGGAAAATGTAAGGCATGGCTTTTTCCCATATGGAACCAATTGTAGAACTCTGAAGACAATATCTATAGTAAAGGACTTGTTCGATTTTCTCGTCTTCTTGAGGATCCCACCAGCATTTCTTCGACACTGTAAAATATCAAGATCTAAATTAACCAACTATATATTTATGAATCCTTTCATAATTGCTTAATTGTTTTACCATATACTTTGTGTTGCATATTAGAATTCATAACGTGAATAGTCGCATTGAAGTCTTCAGGAATTTTTGGATTTGTAGCATTTTGAACCACGTGGCTGTGTTCTAACCATTCTTTAGCCGTTTCCCATAAAAATAAGCGAATCCAAACAGCCAGATTAGCAGCTTGCAGATGCATTAGGCCGATATTTCGGAACCAACCAAGAGATTTGAGAACTCTCTAAAAAATCAGTAATAATTTTAAAAAAATAGATAAAAAATTAACTATGATAATTAACAAGTAAAACTTAGAATTTCACACTGGGGGCATGAATTACATTGGAGTTTAACCAGACCGCATTAATTGACCTAGACGGCGAAATGACTCGTCTAATTATGAAATAGAGAGTAATGAAGATGCTGGGCAAATGTTACGCGATAGAGGAAGTAAATTGATATGGCTATCTTGCAGTTCTAAATTAGTTATTTCCTTCTAGAAAGAAATACAAAGTCTCATAATAATAAGAAAAACGGGAGATGAGTAATTTTTGTCTTCAAGCAATGTATTTCAGAGTAGTATAATTTAAAAAAAATTATTAAATGTTATACCATTTAAAAAATATACATATTTATAAAAAAAATAAATAAAGTTTCTTGCTTACCGGAATATTCATGAAAAGAAAATGCATTTGTAGAAATGTAAATATTCCTAATAAAATCGGCTGTGCCAAATTTAGCTCGTCCAAGCATAACTCTTCTACTGGTGTAAAATAAGTTCCTATTTCTAATCCTATCCATGTTAACATTCCGAGTCCCAGCACTGAAATTAAATAAATAATAAGCTTTAATGAATTCAAACACAAATTACAATTAAAAGATATTTTAAAACTAAGTTAAATTACAATTACAGCACCTAATATTCCAACTCGGAGATAAATACTAATATCTTTTAATAATACTCCAGATTTCTTCTTTAAATCTCCAGATTCGATATCATCATTCAGAGTGGGACATTTAGAAAATGCTACACAAATATAAGTCGTCAAAAAGCATACTACACTTCCACCGATAAGGTAGGAAAAAAGAAATCCCTAGAATTTGTAAGTTTATAAAGATTAAAAATGGTAAATGTATATAAAAAAAATTCTTTTTACAGATTGCGATTCAAGGAAATTAGATTCATCAAGTTACGCTTCATCAAGTAAAAAGAATAACGGAATTTATGTTTTGCAAGACTTTTTACAGGAACTTACATTATAATAGAGAAGAGGAATAGGATTGTCCAGAATCTCTGTAATTACTATGATTCCAGCTGTTACGATTAATATTCGAGCGTATAAACCGCTTAATACACGAATTGTACCGGTCTTCTCCTTCGATCTAAACATAAAACAAAATGGTTTTGCACTGTTTATTTTTAGTACATTAAGGAAGAATTTAAAACATTACAAAATATTATGTATATGACCTTTCTTTCTTGCTTCTGTTCGATTTTTGAGAAGCGCTTCGTTCTGGTTCAGCAGCTTCGTCGGAACTTGAATTATCTATGGATGAGATGGGATGTGGTAGACTACTCTTAGAACCAGTCATAGATGTTGCAATGGGAGGGGGTGTCGGAGGAAGTTCATCCAAAGACGCTAATGACGGCGTGATAATTTCCGGTGTGTGATGGATCCCCAACAATTTCACATTGTTATTAGTCGTTTCGTTGTTCATCGAGTCCATTTGTAATCGGTAATCGCAACCTGTTAACTAAATTAAATAAACTGTAAAAACCCCGTTTTCCACGTAAAAGCAATCAATTTAAATTTACAAAATTGGCCGAGAAAAATATAGAAAAGAACGTCGCTAATAATTATGGTTAGATAACGAAAGATATATTATTTGTAAGTATAATTTAACTAACATACTGTAGTTAATGTGAAGAGAGTGTCTAATAGCATTAAAGATAAAATTCCTAAACTGTTTAATAATTATTTGGTTCCGTTTCATCATCGAAAGCAATTGAATAAAAAGAAAATCCAATTATCATCATTAAATACGATGATTGAAATTACTCCTACAGTTCTTAGCATTCAAATTATATTCGGAGTGATTTGAATAAGGATATCCTCTTTATTTTATTCTGTCAACGTAACTACTCGTTTAATGTCTCTGTAAGAACTTTCATAAACTCCTGCAGTCATTTCTTTAAAAGCTCACCTGTCGCGCATTGCTTTAGATCGTTCAATCAATGACAACTGTAAATTTTACCTAAAGGAAATATTTGAAAAGAATGACGAATGATCAATCTTTCAGAAGATTAATAATTCAATAGCTTCATACCTTTGATTCTATCTAAACTAAAATCTAAGGGGGAAAGAATTATGATTTACTTCGTTAAAACTACAGTCGAATTAACTGGGTCAATAAGTTTCTAATACTGCCCAAGGAATAAAACAGCGAGAGACAAATTAGTTAATTCAAACTACGAGAATTCGTTGAGTGAGCGACGGCCACAAACAAGATTTTAACGAATATATCAACAAGCTAAAGATATGATCGTAAGAGGGCAAAAGAGCGTGGAAAAGTCGTAAAAGCGCAGACCACCGGCTGATGTTTATGAGATTTACTTCTGCTACTTTCGTTATTATCGTTATCGATAATACGTTATCTCCCGTCACAATTTTTTCTCCTATAAAATCGATTGTTTTGATTATATAATTAGAAATTTGTATTTCAGATACGTAAATGAAGTTCATTTATTCAAATTATAATATATTCTAGTATAGATATTAAGTAAATTTAAAGTGTTTTAGGTTCGTGCACGGAATGATCATCTATACTTTGCTCCAAAAAGTTAATGGCATTCGCATTTACTTTAGTCTGGCCTGTAATTCTCCGGTGATATTGGTTTTGGTCCATTTCACTTCATCTACTGAAAACATTTTAGTATTTCCTACGACTTTTTTTTAGCAAATGGATTATTAATTTAAACAAAGAGACATTCACGTGTTAAAAGCAGCTTGAAAAGTTTATGAATATAAAATAGGATATGTTATAAATCATAATCTGATCATTATTACAACGTTATTTTGTATATACTACAAGTAAAACGATATTTATCTCATTTCGTGCGCCATCTTACTAAATTTTATTTATTTATTATTCCTTTAGATAAGCTAATTCTAATCTATTAGATATTATATTTTAACTCTCGAAATAAATATCATACGTTTAAAATAATTTATGGCTTTATATCACATATTATTTTAAATCTATTTATTTATTTATGTAATAAAAATAAAGTACATTTATAAATTTAATTAACTTTTAATTTTATATTATTCCCCATGTTTATATTATTAATAAGCAAAATAAATTAATCTGTATTCTGAAATGTAGACAAATTTAAGTTTATTCGTAACATTATAATTTATAAATAAAATTATATAAAGTTTAAATAAATATTTATCGACTTTTTAAAATTATTTAATCTATGTTATATTCGAAGCATTGACACTTGTTTTTAAGCTATTTACTTACAGATTACGTGAAAATAACACTAAAAATAGACATAGAAAACAGATAATCGCCTTTATTTTAATCTAAATTTATTTATTTTTATGTCTTGTATTTTTCTGTGTTTATAATGATACGAATAAACCAAAGAGAAATTCTTTTCATTTTTAAAAATATAACTAATTATATATTTACAACTGACCATGTTTGTTAGTCATAAAGAAATTACACTGAATAAGAGTTGTGCTCAATCTAGACTTTTCATTTCTCAATATTATAGAAATTATATTATTTATCAATTTTCAAAATGTAACAGGAAATTGCTGTTTCCGCAACATATATATATTTTTTTAAATCTTGGTTATTTATTATTGATAAATTCTACTATAATATATTATAATTATTCTTAGAAATATTTCATGTAAGAGAAATTGTAAACAATATATTTATCTGAAATATTATATCCCAATCTGATCATAAGTAGGTCTATTTAATTATCTAACTTTTTCAACTATTTATATAAAAAATAACTACAGGAGGAATCATATATTTACTAATGCATAACGTCATACTATCAGAAGCTGTTTAAACATTAGCGACACGAAAAATATTGTAAAAAAATTTAAATTTTAACTTCTCAATGAATTACATATGTTGTGACTTGGCAAATATTAGGTCGCCACATGTTAAAGATTATTATTTATGATAAGAATTAGATACATCACGCTAACAAGTAATGATATTTATAAACGTATAATAGCTTAACAGAATAATGTTCAATGATTATTTTCTTTATTTGACATTACTAAGAAGAGAAAAATAAAAATGATTGCACTAGAAAATGCAATTATTTCTTGTAAGTTTAGTATTAAAATGATTTTTTTCTTTTCTTCTTAACATTAAAAACATAATAATCTTTAAGAATGTTTTAATATTTTTCTACTAGAGAAAACTTATTAAGTTAAAGTAATAATTTTATGTTTATATTAAATTTGCTATGATCATGTTCAGATTTTATAAAAATTTATTTTGATAGGAAAAAAATAAATAAATAATTTCGTTTCTTATACAGAATGACTTAACTATTTACTGTTTTTAGATAAAATATTGACTTTAAACAGACTGAAATTAATTTGATTTATTAAAAAGGGAGGAAGTGCATTTACTCTGAAAGTAAAACAGTCGGAGAAAGATCATTTATAAAAAAGAAAATTATATATAAACTAAATTTAGTATATATCATTATAATAATATATACATATAAAGTATAACTTATAAAGATAAATAAATTTGGAAATAAATTTATCTTATCATTTTACTTATAAAATGATAAATTAATTATTAGAAACAGTAAAAGTTCGTAATATAAAATGTTTACTTTAAAAAAATGGTATTTTTACAGGCTATTTTCTATAAATAAAGTTTTTTCGTACCTTATTCACTTATTTCTCTTATCTATTTAAGTTATAGGACATACAGTTTATTTCAATTTAACTGATGAATATAGATGAGGTAATATATATTTCACTTTAAAAAATTAGGAGTTTAAGATAAATATTTTATTTCCCATTTCCTTACACTTAATTATATTATTCTTTTTAAAACGGGAGTTACAAGAGTACGAATTAGAAGTTGGCTGATTTTCCATAGGAAGCACGCTATTGAATATTTATATACGCATTAAAACTTAAATTCCCGTAAAGTCTCTAAATAATAAAGTAGTATTATTAAATATTTAATATTTTAATGCAATAATTATTTTCAAATTAATAAATTAATTTCTTTCTGCATTTCTTTTTTATTATTAAAAATTAATTTCAAAATGTCATGAGAAGAAAGTATAGAAGAAACTAATTCCCAGCAATCCAGTACATAAATCTCGATTTTCATTTATAATTAGTTCAAGGACATATTTAAGTCTAATAAACCTTCTTTGTCTGAATATTTAAACTACGCTGATATAATTTAAGTGATCGAATCTACGATATTTTGTTTAAGATGTTTCTAAACATTCGATCGGCTCGTGCATTCGTACTAATTCTAAGCTAAACCTGTACATAAACTTATTATAGATTTAATCACGTATTTTTCATTTAAATTCATTAAGATAATAAAATAATTATGTTCGATGCAACTTAAATGATTATTCATATAAATGGTATGTAGAAATTAGTCTATAATTAAAAAATAAAATATTGAAAAACATTTTTAATACATTAAAAACAATATTTAATACAATTAAAATAATGGAATTAAATTTAATTGTTTATCGCATAATTATTTAATAACTTTTAAGTAAATAAATCATTATCTGAGTGATGGTTCGATGGTCAAGGAGGTAAAAACACCATCCTGTTGTTTTGGAATTCTAGATTAGAGGATGGGCAGACTCAAATTTTCGTGGGGAGGTTGACCCGAATATATCAGATCCATCTATTATTGTGCGGCTGACTTCAACATTATGTATCAGATAAAACCATGGTAATCATGCAAAAAAGATTTCTTAGTGCCTATAGGGCAATAAGGTTTAAAAATAATTTGCATTACTTAAGCTATTTTTTAGAATTTCGAAAAAATTAGTTCTATACTCTTCTTATGCACAACAGAATAGAGAATACAGCCAAATATAATATAAGTACAATATACAGACTACAGAATACACACGTATTCTGTTTTGGCTGCTATCTTCGTAATTAATTATATATTAAATTGAAAGATTGCAACTGTCTTGAAATCATTAAAAGTATGTACAGTACCAAACATTTATTCACGTGATAGTTAAATACTTCATAATTTTATTAATTATAATTTTAATACTTCATAATTTTTCTTAATAATTTTATGTTACATAATTTCATTCCATTGAATATAATGGAAACATGAATAATAATTCATTAACTAATAAAAAATGATAAACATCTTGACGAAAGAAAATAAAAAATATATACAGTATTAACAAGTAAAAATTCTCATATAGATTTTCTGCCTTCATAAAGCTAGGCCCTAAAACATTTTATCTCTAAAGACATCTAGAAGGTAGTCATTTTCATTTTAAGACAGCAAATTGGGGCATATGTATAAAATTTAGAACTCTAAAAGCATTTTAGATTACCTGGCTTAAAGGATTATGATTAAGTATTGATTTACAAATTATGTTGCCTTATGGCAATGACTTTGAAACCACATCATTCCAAATTTACAGAAATTACAATCCTTCATCATTCCAATAGCGTGTTTCACCGTGTTAAAGAACTTTCGTACAAAATAAGGAAAGCATTTATAATATTTAAGAAGAATTTTTATACTGTATTTAAAACGTCTCACAAATTTATAAAATGTGTATTTATTCATCTGAATTTTGTTTCATCTCAAATAAGCATTGAATAAAAAGGTTTCGGACTGGAAACTCAACAAATTACAAATCTTCAAACACTTGCTACAAGAAATTTATTATATTATATCATATTATAATTTATTATAAAAAAAGCTAATGTTTCTGCATTTTTTGGTGGTTAATATCATCATCAAATAACTACTAAAATGGTTATTTTATTAATTAATGCGTTACCTTTAAATGTAAGAAGCATTATGCACTTTATATCTAAAAAGCGATAGAATTTTTATTTTATAACCTTTTATTTAATCTTCGTATCTATAAAGAATCGAATTGAATTAAAATACGCCGGTTACCAATTGATATTTAAGTTTTAATATAAAATAAAATTTTAATTAAAGCATTCAATAATAATGGTAAATGGTTTTATTAACGAATGTATAAAATAAAAGAAAACAATACAGAATAAACAGTTTAATTGCGATTTTATTTATAAATTTCGTTTACTAAAAGCAAATTTAAACATTTATTAATTAAAAGTCAATATTTTTAACATATAAAAGAAAAGTCAATATTTGCATTATCTTTCGGAAACTTCTTCCATTAAAAATGTAATTTTGGAAAATATTTTAAGAAATATTCCATTTTCTAAAATTAAGTATGGCCAACGTTTTAGACAAAATTATATTTTTTTAAGTCACAAAATCTTTTTTTCTTCTATTTACAGAATTTTTTCCTATTAATTTGAAGTTTAATTTATTTCATGTGTTCATTAAATTTTTGTTTAAGAAAAAAACTAATATCAAAATTATTTTGGATTTTTATAAAGGCCAATATATTGATCAAAATGCGGTCGAGTAATCACAATAATTGCGTTTGTTACTATTGACTTCCTTACTTCTTCATCAATTCTCTAAACATAATACTTTTAAAAAGCTAACATATCTGTTTTAAAATTATTAATAATTACATATAAGTTTTTATAATACGATGCCGTTTTAAAAATTAGACGATCAATTTACCATTATTTGGCTGTGCTATCAAATAAAATAATTATTATATTTTCGTTTGCCCACATGTTTGTATTTCTGTTGAATCAGCCGTTTTTGTGGGGTCCATTTTTGCTTGCGAAATATAGGACAGTGGGTATTTGATACAGTTTTCGTATAGCGCGCATTTAATTAAATTTGATGATGCAGTTCCTTTAATTAACTGCTAGATTTTTTAAAAGTACTTTATATATTTTAAACATATTATTTTAAATTAAGGTTAATATATTATTACATAAACATATTTTGAATTATTTCTAATTTCTAAATTAAACTATTATAGTTATTGATCTTTAATAATTAATATAGTTAATTATATTTATTAATTTTTATAATTCTGAAAGTTAAAAATATTATAATTCCTATTCCATACATTGGTTTAATTGTAACAATGTGTATAGTTTAACATTGTACATTGTTTTAATTTGTTCTATAAATAAATGTTATCTGTTCTATTTTTAAACCAAGCCAATTAAAATTATTGAGCGGAATTGTATATTATTGTTATGATAAGTTTTTAAATTAAAAAATGTTTTAAACTTCTATTTGAATCTATTTTTAATCTTATATTTAGCGGAAAAAATTTTATGGTTATTTCTTTTGCAGTGTTAGTTTTAAAACTACATTAAAACATAAACTCAATTATTTTTTTTATTATGTAATAGACTATAAATTAGAATAATTTCCTTATAAATTTCAATACAGTAAATAGTAAATATTATAACTGGCAGCTAGACTAAAATCTTGAGTCATGTTAATAGATTTTATATTAAAATAATTAGGAGGGTATCATTAGAAATGGATTTAAAGGAAGTTAATAAAACTTGATTTACAATAAAAATTCTTAACAGATTTACATTTGCAGAATCGATTATAAAATGAATGCAATTCTATTTAATAAACTGCACGTGGCCTATAAATTATCTTTGTAGTTTTTTCTAAATTGTAGGTCAAATGAAGTTCATTAGATACTGTTGAATTAGCAAGTTTATAGAAGAAAATAAATGACCGTCTGATATCTGGCTTAATTCTTTTATGTAATAAAAATAATATATGACAAAAAATTTAGTTAGAAAATATAAAGATAAAAAGCCAGCGTAATCTTTAATAAAGTTGTCAACAATAGCAAAGAAACAGCATAACTTAACCTTGAAAATTTTTGAATGAGTTCAAAGTAATAAAGAGGCTGTGAAAGTAATTTCACAGGAGGCGAATAGTGAGAGAATGTGTACAGAGTATATATATAATCTTTGAAAAATAATCACTTATTATAAAGAGATATTTTTAAATTTATCGATAATAATCTATTTACATATTTTTAAATAAAGATTTAAAGTTTTAAATTAATTAACTAATAAAAAAAAATCGTTGTTTCTACACACACACACGTATATAGGCCTATATAAGCTAAACACACTGTATACTTTATGAAATTTTGAGTAAAAAATGATATTTATAAGTTAATTTAGAACTTTAAATCTTTATTTTAAAAAAATCTAAATAAATTATTAGATAAATTAGATAAATTAATAAAAAGATATATTCATAATAAATTATTTATAACAATAACTATAACTAAAAATAACTAAATAGTTTTTATTATGTTTGGTTTAGCTCATCAAACTTTTATCAAACTTTTTCAAAACAACTCTACTTTAATCATTAGCTTGATTCCAGTAGCTGAAATTCATGTTTTGACATCTTCAGGATCAAATTTGCTTTTCTACCTACTTACATCGAAAGAACTTAAGTTCAGAGAACACCTGCCAGAAGATCGTCTTACGTTATAATCAAGTCAACATGTGTCTATTTAAATAGCGTGCATGGGAACAGCTGGATTGATCTAGGTTTTATTATTGTTATTTTTTACCAGTCTAGACGAGAAGGAAATTAAGACAACCTCTAATTAGTTAAATTTAAAATTTAAATTAAATTTAAACTCGAACATTATTTAAATTTGAGTTAATATCTGAAAAAAAAAAAATCACTTCGTATTTAGTTTCAAGTTAAATATACGGTCATCAAATATCAGATTTCTGTCTATAATAAAAATTTAAAAGATAAATAAGTAAATATATTCATAAAATGTATATAATCATTTATAATTGGGCTATATCTTAATTAATCACTCGAATAAAATTATATATTTCCTGTAATGAATATTAAATCCCGTAATAAACCTCTATATATCAATAAATTTTCAACTTCAAATTCGAAAGGACTGCATTTCGAAACCGGAAATAATGCTTTAATAGTCAATAATTATAATAATTTATTGACGTTTCATGGAACATCGTCGATATTCCTACACATAAATAGCGATGAGTTCACACATAGAACTCGACCAAACTTTTACTATCCAATGACGATCTCACAGTTACTTAATAGAGGTCCAATTAAAGCACAATTACCGCTTCCCGCTGCAGAGGAGCTGAGAAGGACAACGAGAAACTGTGTTGATATCGTCAATAAATGTTTCAAATGGCAGTCAGCTGATACATAGTTAACATTTTTTTTAAATATAAGCGAAAAATAATTGTTAATAAATTGATGATAAAATTAATTATTCCTTCCTCAAAGTAACGATCAATTATTATCGCTTTATGTGAAGATAATATCAGCATGCGCAGACGATATGTTTTGAAAATGCAACTTGTCTTTTCTGGGAATTCTATCCCCGTGTTTCTCCGAAGATCAACGTTCTAATTTTGTAGAAAACCACGAGAAAATCACCGAAATGTATCTTTTACAAGTGGGAATTCTTCTGTGTTTACAAGACGACCGCATTAATTCGAATAAGAAAAAATAACTTCACAACAGAAGAAAATATTGTTTCACAATTGACCGACGTCGATGCTAGATTTGTAAGGAAAATGTTCACAAAGGAAAAAATATATATAAATAAATAAAACGACAATCAGAAGAATGTTATTTTAAACCGCGATTTAAATTTAACTATTAAAAAAATAATAATAAAAAATTGAAGCGTTAACAATTGCTATTCATTCACAGAAATTGTCTTGAAACATCCACAACTAGATAATGAATGCGGTAGTTTTTATGAAAGATGGACTATATATATTTCGACATTCAGCGTATCGCTTACATTAACATCTGCCTATTTTTTTTTTCTTTTTTTTTTAATTTTGTGAAAGCTTAATCGTAAATTATATATACTTAATCTTCTATTATTTTGTTGTTTACTAATAAAAATGTATACCTTTAAATGGCATTTTCTGAAATAAAATCATATCAAATTTATCTATGAAATGAAAGATTTAAAGTAAAACAACAGAGCATATACTAATCAAGCAGGATGTAGAATAAGTATTAATATAATATAATTTTACCCACCTATAAATCTTAATAAGCTCCGACATCAGCCTGGCAATCCTCAGAAATGACCACAAGCAACTGAGTTCTGTCAATCAACGAGCGTCTGCTGAAGAAATCATTGGCCTCCTTTTCGCTTATGATGTCACATCCTCCTCCATTGACCAATCATCATCCGTCAGACTGCGATGTCACCACACTTTTGATAACTAGAAAGAAAATTTTAATCTCAAACATTTACGATATATAAATGCTTAAATAATTTATTTTAAATTTTTTAACTTATTAAAAAATATTATAATCGAGTCATTATTTAACTTTAATCATTCTAGCAATTTATTAATTAAGTGTTATCCATTGTTAGAAAGATTCATGGATATTGACGCGTTTTCGTTTCGAGAAAGATAGATTCGAGTTATTCCAATATGTCTTTCTCGTGCAACAGAGCTGTCAACGTTCCTACAGTTAGTCGTCCGTCTTCGGCTTATGTAAAGCAAGGGTGTGGCGGGAATGCTCACTCCACCCTCCCACCTCAATTGTCCCGAGACTGATGTTAGATCACGGCGTTCCCATGGCAACAAGTCATTGTTGAAACCATTCGGAGGTGTCACTGTCGCTCTAATGCAGTAATTGTTTCTCCGACGAATATCTTAACATTACATTTTGAAAATTGTTCGAACTGCAGACACGATAACCCATTTTTATTCGCTTAATTAACGAATTGATTAATGATCAGACAAATGTATCAGCAAATCGTTCGGTAAAAATCTATAAGCCACCTTCTTCGACCCGCTTCAAAAAAGGAAACTAGAAGATATTATTTAAAATTTATTTTTAGGATTTAATCTAGAGATTAAATAAACGCTTCGGCGGAATTTTTAAATCGTAATTTCATCGTTAATTTAAGCATTAATATCATGAGATAAAATTTATTCATTTAATGTACTGTACATATAATTTTCATTTTGTACATTGATAACATTCCTTGTAGCTTAAACCGAAATTATATATCGGACGAGCGACCTTGTTATCCGCAATCATATCCTCTACAGAATTTCCTACCTGTTTTAATAAGGATATCCCTTAAAATATGATGAGAGAATCAAAACTCTTCCGACCTTGATGTCTTTATTTCCGTATTTAAAAACTTTTTATAATTTGAATAAATATTATCTTTGCTTTATTTCTTTCTCAATTATTTCGTTTGTAAGATTTATTAATTCATTTATAAATAATTCAGAAAAAATTTGTATTTAGATTCCAAACAATTATAAATTAAAGAAATCTGTTTATAATAGTTTTTATGTTTAAGTAAATTAATTATTAATTATAAAAATGTAGTATTTGAAGAGATTTCTTTTGAATGTAAAATTAATCGATAAATTAATAAAAAGATATATTCATAATAAATTATTTATAACAATAACTATAACTAAAAATAACTAAATAGTTTTTATTATGTTTGGTTTAGCTCATCAAACTTTTATCAAACTTTTTCAAAACAACTCTACTTTAATCATTAGCTTGATTCCAGTAGCTGAAATTCATGTTTTGACATCTTCAGGATCAAATTTGCTTTTCTACCTACTTACATCGAAAGAACTTAAGTTCAGAGAACACCTGCCAGAAGATCGTCTTACGTTATAATCAAGTCAACATGTGTCTATTTAAATAGCGTGCATGGGAACAGCTGGATTGATCTAGGTTTTATTATTGTTATTTTTTACCAGTCTAGACGAGAAGGAAATTAAGACAACCTCTAATTAGTTAAATTTAAAATTTAAATTAAATTTAAACTCGAACATTATTTAAATTTGAGTTAATATCTGAAAAAAAAAAATCACTTCGTATTTAGTTTCAAGTTAAATATACGGTCATCAAATATCAGATTTCTGTCTATAATAAAAATTTAAAAGATAAATAAGTAAATATATTCATAAAATGTATATAATCATTTATAATTGGGCTATATCTTAATTAATCACTCGAATAAAATTATATATTTCCTGTAATGAATATTAAATCCCGTAATAAACCTCTATATATCAATAAATTTTCAACTTCAAATTCGAAAGGACTGCATTTCGAAACCGGAAATAATGCTTTAATAGTCAATAATTATAATAATTTATTGACGTTTCATGGAACATCGTCGATATTCCTACACATAAATAGCGATGAGTTCACACATAGAACTCGACCAAACTTTTACTATCCAATGACGATCTCACAGTTACTTAATAGAGGTCCAATTAAAGCACAATTACCGCTTCCCGCTGCAGAGGAGCTGAGAAGGACAACGAGAAACTGTGTTGATATCGTCAATAAATGTTACAAATGGCAGTCAGCTGATACATAGTTAACATTTTTTTTAAATATAAGCGAAAAATAATTGTTAATAAATTGATGCTAAAATTAATTATTCCTTCCTCAAAGTAACGATCAATTATTATCGCTTTATGTGAAGATAATATCAGCATGCGCAGACGATATGTTTTGAAAATGCAACTTGTCTTTTCTGGGAATTCTATCCCCGTGTTTCTCCGAAGATCAACGTTCTAATTTTGTAGAAAACCACGAGAAAATCACCGAAATGTATCTTTTACAAGTGGAAATTCTTCTGTGTTTACAAGACGACCGCATTAATTCGAATAAGAAAAAATAACTTCACAACAGAAGAAAATATTGTTTCACAATTGACCGACGTCGATGCTAGATTTGTAAGGAAAATGTTCACAAAGGAAAAAATATATATAAATAAATAAAACGACAATCAGAAGAATGTTATTTTAAACCGCGATTTAAATTTAACTATTAAAAAAATAATAATAAAAAATTGAAGCGTTAACAATNAAAAATGGTATTTTTACAGGCTATTTTCTATAAATAAAGTTTTTTCGTACCTTATTCACTTATTTCTCTTATCTATTTAAGTTATAGGACATACAGTTTATTTCAATTTAACTGATGAATATAGATGAGGTAATATATATTTCACTTTAAAAAATTAGGAGTTTAAGATAAATATTTTATTTCCCATTTCCTTACACTTAATTATATTATTCTTTTTAAAACGGGAGTTACAAGAGTACGAATTAGAAGTTGGCTGATTTTCCATAGGAAGCACGCTATTGAATATTTATATACGCATTAAAACTTAAATTCCCGTAAAGTCTCTAAATAATAAAGTAGTATTATTAAATATTTAATATTTTAATGCAATAATTATTTTCAAATTAATAAATTAATTTCTTTCTGCATTTCTTTTTTATTATTAAAAATTAATTTCAAAATGTCATGAGAAGAAAGTATAGAAGAAACTAATTCCCAGCAATCCAGTACATAAATCTCGATTTTCATTTATAATTAGTTCAAGGACATATTTAAGTCTAATAAACCTTCTTTGTCTGAATATTTAAACTACGCTGATATAATTTAAGTGATCGAATCTACGATATTTTGTTTAAGATGTTTCTAAACATTCGATCGGCTCGTGCATTCGTACTAATTCTAAGCTAAACCTGTACATAAACTTATTATAGATTTAATCACGTATTTTTCATTTAAATTCATTAAGATAATAAAATAATTATGTTCGATGCAACTTAAATGATTATTCATATAAATGGTATGTAGAAATTAGTCTATAATTAAAAAATAAAATATTGAAAAACATTTTTAATACATTAAAAACAATATTTAATACAATTAAAATAATGGAATTAAATTTAATTGTTTATCGCATAATTATTTAATAACTTTTAAGTAAATAAATCATTATCTGAGTGATGGTTCGATGGTCAAGGAGGTAAAAACACCATCCTGTTGTTTTGGAATTCTAGATTAGAGGATGGGCAGACTCAAATTTTCGTGGGGAGGTTGACCCGAATATATCAGATCCATCTATTATTGTGCGGCTGACTTCAACATTATGTATCAGATAAAACCATGGTAATCATGCAAAAAAGATTTCTTAGTGCCTATAGGGCAATAAGGTTTAAAAATAATTTGCATTACTTAAGCTATTTTTTAGAATTTCGAAAAAATTAGTTCTATACTCTTCTTATGCACAACAGAATAGAGAATACAGCCAAATATAATATAAGTACAATATACAGACTACAGAATACACACGTATTCTGTTTTGGCTGCTATCTTCGTAATTAATTATATATTAAATTGAAAGATTGCAACTGTCTTGAAATCATTAAAAGTATGTACAGTACCAAACATTTATTCACGTGATAGTTAAATACTTCATAATTTTATTAATTATAATTTTAATACTTCATAATTTTTCTTAATAATTTTATGTTACATAATTTCATTCCATTGAATATAATGGAAACATGAATAATAATTCATTAACTAATAAAAAATGATAAACATCTTGACGAAAGAAAATAAAAAATATATACAGTATTAACAAGTAAAAATTCTCATATAGATTTTCTGCCTTCATAAAGCTAGGCCCTAAAACATTTTATCTCTAAAGACATCTAGAAGGTAGTCATTTTCATTTTAAGACAGCAAATTGGGGCATATGTATAAAATTTAGAACTCTAAAAGCATTTTAGATTACCTGGCTTAAAGGATTATGATTAAGTATTGATTTACAAATTATGTTGCCTTATGGCAATGACTTTGAAACCACATCATTCCAAATTTACAGAAATTACAATCCTTCATCATTCCAATAGCGTGTTTCACCGTGTTAAAGAACTTTCGTACAAAATAAGGAAAGCATTTATAATATTTAAGAAGAATTTTTATACTGTATTTAAAACGTCTCACAAATTTATAAAATGTGTATTTATTCATCTGAATTTTGTTTCATCTCAAATAAGCATTGAATAAAAAGGTTTCGGACTGGAAACTCAACAAATTACAAATCTTCAAACACTTGCTACAAGAAATTTATTATATTATATCATATTAAAATATATTTTTTTAAATCTTGGTTATTTATTATTGATAAATTCTACTATAATATATTATAATTATTCTTAGAAATATTTCATGTAAGAGAAATTGTAAACAATATATTTATCTGAAATATTATATCCCAATCTGATCATAAGTAGGTCTATTTAATTATCTAACTTTTTCAACTATTTATATAAA